TCGATGCGTAGAGGGCTTCATTTGTCGATATGAATCATGCTTTTTTCACGTTGGTGATGGATAAAAGAAAACCATTTGTTTTTCAATGAGTCAGCCCAAGTCTCCAAAAGCTCACAAGATGATAAGAAACTCATTGTAATGATCTCGTTCCGGCGTTATGTCAATTCGTTGGCAGTCAATGGTTTACGATCACTTATGTAGTTTGCACAGTCAAGTCCACAAGTTTTTTTCGACAAGGGCTTTTATTACACACCACAGCGAATCTTCGATTATAGGTTGGGTGGACAGTAGAAGAAGAAGAAGAAGATGATAAATACTTAGTCCACAATGCACGGCACATGATTTATGTTAAAAAAAAATTTCTTATATTTCAACTTTTTTTTTCCTGGTATACGTCTTTCCCCATCTTGAGCAAAGTTACTTATCTCTACTCAACACAATGCTTAGACTGTAGCTTCGTTTGGTGTAAAAGTTAATATGCCGTTATACGGGTCGTTTTACGATGTACGATATGCTTTGAAAGTTTCTAGAGTGTTTGAGAAGGTCAAGAGACAAGCGTGCCGGACGGTCGTTCACCTCTGACATTGCAGTGATGCCAAGCTGCATTTAAACATGTTTTGTTACACTGTAATAATTTGTGGCAGCAGCTATTGGTGCTTAGCCTACAATATTGCCTGTAAGGTGTGGAGCCTTATTGAAATCTATATAAAACAAACTGAAGTTGTAAATACGTCAAAAGAGTGGTAAGTATTTTTGCAAAATAATTCACATGACCCAATGACAAGCAATCTGGTGCTTACAACTTTTAAGACTACTCTATGGTCTTAAGGTAGGAAGGGTCCAACTAAATATACATATCTTACACGATCTCGATGTTTGCATTTTATAACTGCATTTGCAAAAATATTAATACACCCGCTACCCGAAACAGGAAATCACCTCGTTGTCCTTGGACAAGAGGAGACCACGACATCATGGCTGCCTTTAGAAAAAGTAAGAATCAAGTTATTATCTACCCTTGCAAAGCGATTTCCCGCAATATGCTAGAACTGACTGAACTGACTATCACGAGACAGTAAAAAGATTAGCTTGAGAGCCCATCCATTATATAGAAGCGATTTGATATCGATAGATAAATTGTTTTTTCTTTTGCAATATCTGATACTGGGGTGAATTTTTGAAAAGGCAATAAAAAGTTTTCAACACTTTTTCTACCATCATCAAGACATAGCGGTCAATTAAGTTGATCTTATCCTCGGCTTTGATTGTTTGTTGTTGGCTAACTGTTTCGAGTATTATTCATATAATGCAGCCATGCACTAAAACCAAGATTATGTAGGCCTTCGTTTAAGTAAACACATGTATTTTGCTAACAGAATGCCTTACTTAGATACATATATTATTGTTTAAGTGTATATATGTGTGTGTTTGTAAGAAAACAAATCATGTTAATTTAATTGAACATTTTGCCAAATTGAATGCAATTCTTTTTCTGGATCGTTTTTACTGCCTATGCATTTTCGTTGTAAAATTATGCAGAATATAAAAAAAAAAAAAAAAAAAAAAAGAAAGAAAAAAAAACAAAAAAAGACAATCTATGTGTATTTTGTATGCGATTGTGTGAACGCAACCCACTTTATCTAATGTTCAGAGAAGCTTTTGCTATTGCGTATTGCACATGTGCCGTTTATCCGACGATCGGTCTTTGGTACTAACTTAAATTATTTTATTTTCGTTTATTCATTTCATGGCATTTAATCTTTTCTATCTCTTGTCTTATGGCCTTAGCTTAATGTAAACGACAACATTGCCTCTTTTGATTTTTACTCTCATACATATACATTTATGCGTATGAAGACAAAGACTTCAAAGTCTTTTTCCGTACCATTGTGCTTTTTTCACTTTAAGTACTTAAATCTTAGTTTTATGTTAATAAGTATTGATTAACGTGTAAAATAGTGATCTCTGGGCAGATTGTAGTTTAAATGGCGTTACGGTTCCTGTTTTTTTTTTTCTCTTCTCTTTTCTCTTCTATAAAAAACATTGCGATCTATTAATTGAAAGTCCATCGCAAAGGTGAGAAAATTTTTTAAAGCTTTTGTGTGTGCGAAATATGTAAATATTTAAATTTGATATCAACACTGTACGTATGTTATATGGAGGAAGAATGCATTTCTGTTTTTAGTAAAACGCTAAAGAAACCCTTTGGAATGAGAAATAAATGCCTTACTATGCTACTTACGATGTTTCTCCTGAGAAAATATTAAAAGCTATGGCAATTGCTGTGCTTAACCGCCGCTAGTTGCCACTGACCGGACAATTATTTTTCACAAATATATCCTATAAGTTATGGTTTGAAAAGATATTCGGTATCATGTAATAATAATTTCCAAATATTCTTAAAATATTTTTTATACAGTGAAATACTTTTGTAATCTAAAAAGATTTAATCAAGGATGTGCATGCAATGCATGTTTCTTCACATGTCTTTAATATTTTATCTTCTTATAACTGGAAAAGTCTAATGAGAGATGCAAATAATAACTACTCGCGATATTGAACCTCATTCATAAATCATCATTTTTTCTATGTATATTATTATTATTATTGTTATTATTATTAATTTCGCCAGAGAAATAAATTCTAAGACTAAACTCTTAAGAGCACTAGCATTTAAGGCTATCGGCTTTTATTAAAAACTCTATCGCACTTGAGATTCGAACCCACGACCATTGACTTGCTAGTCGAGATTCCTCGTCTTCGGCTACTCAGGCGGATATATGCATATTTTTTTGTGTATTAATCATAAGTTATTTAGGTGTTTTCCAATAATCAAAACATGTTGCTATTCATTGCTGCTATTTGCTCTTAGTTTAAAATACGTTATCGGAAGTCATCTTGTGAAAAAATCAATTGTAAAGACTTTAATAAAGGAGCGCAGCAGGAAATGTGGTCGCTTTCTCTTCACTAATTTGCTGAGCTCTAATTAATCTCTAAACTAAGCATTTTCGAATGATGGATTCGTTAGATTGATGTAGTGGGCATACCCTCACTGTTTTACGTCTCGAATTATCGCAACGTATCGCTTTTACATCAGTTGGCATGTTTCAGCACAATTTCTCTTTCAAATGATATACAAGCGCCCAACCGTAAATACCTTTCTTGGTTTTAAAGCAAGTAATCCATTTAAGGTATGCGAAAACTGTGGCCTTAAATCTAAAGACAGAACAATATGACGCCATATCTAGAAAACTGCATAAAATGATAGAAGGGCCTGAAGTAATGTCAGCAAGACATTAGAAGCTGAAAATCGCTCAGATCATCACATCGCGCCTTTATAAGAGATTTCGGAGTAAAATTCTCCTTCTAGTATGGGAAGAAGTTTCAAGAAGAAGGGCAAAGCATGTTGTAGAGAATACTTCTATATATCCGGTTGAAATGAGAAATTCAGTTAGGTTAGAGGGAGAAACCTTAATAATTTAATTTAATATTAATTAATTTAAGTTCATATTTTGCAGACAGAATTTTGGACTCACAGCGAAACAAAACAATTTTAGATTTTCATTGAATTCATTGAATAAGAAACGATCCATGTTTAGCATTAAAATTATGCAATGTGAGGATGAGTGAACTAATTGTGAGCTGCATGTTCTGATAAAGCATCTTTACCATAAACACTGCGAAGCATTGTAAACTTGGTCTAAAAGCTATTGCTGAATGTAACAATTTTTTCCACAGCTTGAGCTCATTTTAAGAACGCAGTTATTTCGACTGCATTAAGACAAACTTTTTTCTGCATTCACTTGAGACGAACGTATATATTTAGTTTGTCAAAACGCATACTACATGCAGAAGGAAACTCTAGAGATCTAATTAATTACGTATGTCCTTCATCAGCATTAAACCTTTTCGTCTGTCTGTCAAACTGTCTATGGCAAATTGGGTTTAGTTTTGGCAAAGTCGGAGTGAGGATGCGCTTCTATTGAACTTCCTTGCGCATGCGTATAAAATGAGGCGGAAAATGATCAAAATTTCTCTTCAAAGTGAAGGTCAAGCTTGTATATGCCACATCATTGATAGGCAATTTCTTGCTAGCTGTCACAATTAAAGGCATTAACTGTTAAGATCCAAAGGGTTTTAACAAAATTTCGCGCCCGCTTCCATCTGAAAAAGGAAAAAGATAACAAGGACAAGGCTGGTTTCTAGTTATTCTTTTCCAGATTAGGTGTGAAAAATTGATAAAATCGTTGGCAAAACCATCACAAGCGGGGAGTTCGAGTTATCATTTCACGATACATGCAATGCATGCTAATCACTTTGTGGATTAAGATTTATTTTTGGATTTATTCGATCTGTATCTATTTATCTTATCGCAGCTGGAAGTTAATCATCAATCAAATTGCAAAACGAGTTCGTTCCCGAAAACAATGGGAAAATACCTTAAATATCCCGTAATATCTTCTTCTTTTTCAAAGGTGTTCACTGCCAGCTACATAAAATATGCACTAATATCGTTTTTTCTAAACTATGATTTTGAAATTTCAAACTTCCTAGTTTGTAATTCGTCGTGATCGTAAATGATTTTTAAAAATCTCTTGAAGTGTCTACGATATAAGTCGAATCGATATCGAAGAAATGAATTTCGGCTTTTTTTTTTTTTTAATTACATACAACCCGTAAATCTGTAAACGAAATTTCAACACAAAAAAAATATTAGAAAAGATAAAACCGCAGCGAATTCGCGGTTATTACTCTGCTGAATAATAGAAGAAGAAGAAAATAAAAAGATCAAAAATTTAAACATTAACAAGTGTATCACTTTCATTTCTTAAAGGTGACAATGGATAGGCTTCTCTTATACATCGCACTAAGCTTTTTTACGATTGGCAATAAAACTGAATCGAGGCAAATTTTTTTTTTAGAACTTTGAGCTTTATCGCATATTTAAAAATATATACTCAAAGTTTATTGCGTTTTTATATTTAGTTTATTGATCTTTTTTTAGTTTACGCTTATGTACACTTTAGCAAAGACACAACCCGCAAGAAATTACAAAATTGTGCGCCATCTTAAGAACTATTTTTGATTCCATCGAATATGCAGCCCTCGTCAAGTTCACATCTGGAATGCATACACTTTGAGAGCATTGTCAAAAGTAACGTATAAAAGAAATAATGTTGTACTCTCTAGACGGCCGATTATCATATTATTCTTTATTTTCTTTCAATATCTTTGAATTGATGTTTCAAATTTTTTAAGTTAATTCGTTTCTTTCTGGTACAAAAAATTACTCATTTTAAAAATTCTCAACATTTTTTTCATAAATTTTCAAAATTGCAAAGTTTCTAAGATAAGATTACTTAAGACATGATGCTGACGCCTACATTTGCCCATACAGCGGTTGGGCGATGTATATGGACATCACTAAACAAATTGCTTATTCGAAATTTTGCCCGTTGTGAACCCTTCTGTCCAGCAACGCCAAAGGAAATTTGCGAGAAAGAAAAGCCTGAAGCTAATAGAAGAGCCATGCCGGCGGCGGAGGTACAAAGAGAAGCTGAGTGTCACTATACTAAAAAATGCGTAGAAACGAAAAGTCAGCGAGCCTGCACGCCAAGGAAGCCGAAATGTCCAAATTGGGAAATCGAATGCCAATGTGCGAAGAGAGAAGGACAAAAGCACATGACTTGCGTTGAAATGGTAACTACAAAAATGGATCCAAACGAGTGCTGCCCAGTTGATGGAATGATTAATACCGAATGTGCTTCTTCACGAACTAAGAGTGAATTAAAGCGGGAGAATGAACCATTTAGATCTTTATGGAATTACCAGAGAGAGTGTTGCGTTAATAATCCTTGCCCTAACTTATTACCTCGTTTCGACGAGTTGTATTGGTGCCCATCGGATAAGTATACCCGCGAATATCAACAAACTTGGGTGGAATGTCCTCGTTTGAAAATTCTGCCACGCAAAACTTGTTGCTACGAGGATCTTGGTCTTCCACCAGTTTGCCGCCGGCCTAGACAGGCTAAAATACCAACAGCATGCGCTTTCAATCCAAATAAGTTAAATACACTGAAAAAAATATGCATATATGATCAAAGGTGCCCAAGAATACAAATGCCGTGCTGTATGAGAGCTCGCGTACCGCCAAAATGCACGCCATCCCATCCAAAGTCAAATTGCAAGAAATATTGTTGTCCATATCCGTCGCTAGCGGAATGTTGCCGCCAATGTCCAATACCGTCGAAGCCTATAGAATGCACCTGCAAACCGGCTTGGACGCCCACATGCGACGTCTACAGCTTTTTGAGGCGTAAGCAGGTATACAATTTACCTCCGCCGTTGCCTGCTTGGCCGCCAAAATAAGAGGAAAAATCAGTAAAAAAATCAATTGAAGCCGAAAATTTCTCGCCGAAAATAGTCGAAATTGCAACATGAAATGCAATTCCGATTATTTTCGTTTTGAAATTTTCAAAAATTTTCCGCAAACAGTGGAGCCGGATTTGTAATACTCGCACGTTGTCTTAATAATCTTGGGAATATTTTTTTTTTTCTTTTTGGTGGTAATAAAATTAAGAATGTATGCGTATGATCAGCCTCCAAAAAAAAAAAAACCGTATTCCTATTTTTTTCTTAGTATTTGAAAACGAGATATTCGAAGTTTCTCGTTTACAATAGTCGAAGAGTATCGAAGTCGTGTAAGGTTAGTTTCGAAAGTTTTCACATTCAGACAGAAGACAGCGCTAACTTCAACCCTCGTAGTTGAATTAACATAAGGAACTTCTCTCCAACTTCCTCAGGAAATCAAGAAATCTTGAGCTTACTATTCTCACCACATTTTTTACATTCTCCCTAAAAACTTCCATCCATTACACGCAAGAACCCATTTAGCTAAGATTTAAATAGATCTGTCTTGCTTTTGTTGAAAATTATAAATCTTTTATTGAAACTATATGCGTAGAATGTTGCTTGCTGCCAAAAAATTCGAATCGATACGTATAGCTTTTTCTTTCTTATGATACAACTTTTGAAAGAACTTAAATTCTGATATATTTACTTCAAAAATTTTTACCACCAGGCATAAATTTAGTGAACAATAACAAGCTTTAATCCAAATATGAGAATATCAAATTACACCAAAATTTTAATTTTTGGATTTAAGAAATGAAAAAATGAGTCTTCAAAGGACATCGTTTTGATTTGCCGGCTTCTTTTTTCCGAAGTTCTTCAAATTTTAATGATTTAACATCTGGCGGCGGTCTTCTTTATGCGGCGCATTTTTTGATAATAGGCCCATACTTCACACATGGGGACTATAGCTAAACAGTGGCATTCAATGGGATGTAGAGGTGGTGGACGTGTGCGAGAACATTCAGAGAACGAGGGATACGGAGCCTTCTTCTTCTTACATTTCATTGGGCTTCTGAAAACGGCGCATTTGGGTGGCTTCCGTGATTCTCGGCAATTAGGCAGCGTGAAGCTCGGACACGAACTGCGTGCAGACGCGCATACTGGACTGCAAGCCGTTGAAGGGCGATCTATCTTTAGTCGTTTTTCCATCGGCGGGTATTGGACTTTATCGTAACAACATATGACTTTTGGTTTTTTTAGCAGTTCTGGGCATTCCACCCACGTTTGTTGATATTTACGCTTCAATTTATCAGAACGTTTATAATATAATAAGTCGAAGCGTGGCAAGGCATCTTTGCATGGGTCGAGACAACATTCTGGCTTAACGGGGATAATAATCTCACGCTCGCTCGACGGCAAAGGGGGCGGATGTTGTTGTTTGACCGCTTCCTCTTTCTTTTCCGATTTTGCCGCCGCTTTCACGCATCCCTTTGCCTTCAATATGTCACCACAATGTGGTTCGCGGCCCTTGCTACAAGTGAATAGGCGTTTTTGAAAAAGCTCCGTAACAGTCGTTGCAATAGATTTATGGGAAACCAGGCGGCCTAAGCCAATCATAATCGAGAACGATGCCATCTGGATATTTCGTTTTTTAAATTTCTTTGATTTTTTTCTTTTTTTTTAAAAATTTTTACAAGAAATTTAGATTTTGTTTGTTACACTAAAAAAAAAAAAAAACATTAGATAGATATGCTTGATTGAAAATTGGAATTTAAAATGATGAAATTTTCAATCCATTGAAAATATTCGAAAATATTTTTTCAAAGCTACTGAGATCGAGAGAATTTTTTTTTTTCTTTTTTTTTAAATTTAAAATCCAGTAATATTTCGAACAAGTGAATGAAAAGAAGAAGAATTTATTTTCTCTTGTTACAAACAAATATCAAGCTTAAGCCTTAGCCTAAGTAAGTAAGTATTGTGTCATATAGAAAAATCGTCGTCTTAATTACAAAAGATTATGAAGAAGACGAAATTACGTTACAGGCTGCAAATCAAGTCCTCGCTTACACAATTATTTAGAGGAATTATTATCACATCCTATTTGGCAGAGTTCTTAAGCAAATATGCGAGTAACTAAAACTAAATAACGTTACAATTTCATTTCAGGGCTTTAACAATACCCGAAGGAAAAGTTCAATTCCCCCTGAATCCGCTTCGGCCATTGCCATAGTTAGGTATATACAGTTATATAGTTGGGGAAAAGTTAAAACCAATTTTATGTAAATTTTTTACAAAAAAAGCGAAATAAGTAGAAAAATTATGTATTTCTATTTAAGCAGGCGTTTGAAGCCTTTTATTATAGCATGGTATGAGTATGTTTTTCTAAGCGTAATGAAGGCAAGAAGACTTTATGTAGATAACTCGACTCTTCGTGTATATATATGTATATCTATTTGTATATGTATATATGTATGTATATGTATATATGTGTATAAGAAGTAATCATATTAAAAGCAAACAATTTCTAATGCTAAAATGTGTTTAAAGGATTTCGGACATTTCTGTGATAAGCTTTTATATTTCTCCTCAATTTTATCTCTTTTCGACGCAGTAACAAACTGAAAACTAAAAACTAATTTAATTGCAAATGTAAATGTACGTGAAGTAAGAGCGAGTGGTTGGGTAAAGTAGGTAAAAAGCGATACGGTCAAGAGAGTGACAGATATGTAATTTTATATATCACAATGGTTATGTAACCAAACTTATATTATTAGAAAATGACAACACATATAAAAATTTGATTTCATTAGAAACCTACAAAATAAAGTTACCATTGAAAGTTTAACGTTCGAATGTTCAGGAAACTTTAAATGCAGATTAAAAGTATATTTGTATTTGCATAGACACCGAGCACCGGGCAATTGTAGAAGTAAGATGTAATGTAGTTGCATTTCTCCGGTTATTTTACATTTCCTTTTAC